GACACAACACCAGCAAAATCATACTCTTCAGCTACAAATATTCTCTATAGCTGCTACCTTGACGCGGTGGTCGGGCTTGCATATCACAATGACCCAACGAGCTATGCTGGTGGAACGCTTGTTCCCTCGAGGTCCTACCATACCAGAAAGGTCTGTTGGGTAGTGGTTAGACGAAAAGCAGTTACCGTCATAGTGTAAATTGCTATACTATGATGGGGGTCTGAGGGCGAAGTCGTACTGCTGCTAGCTGGATGGGGTGTGACAGCAGTAAGGTGTTTCCCTTGGATGACCAGCAGTGCCAAGCTGATGCTGCCTTCTCAGTGGAAGGGGGGGTTAGAAAAGGTCGGCCCCAAAAATAACACACTCCACCACGCCCCACGGTCTGCCGGGCCGGCGGTGTTGGTTCACTTGTCGTTTCCTTTCGATCATCCGGCCCCAAAAATACAAAAATTCAAAATAATCATACTCAAAAGGCTGGGTGTGACAGGCCTCAAGCAGATGTCCGATGGGCTCTGCGGTCACACAAATCTCTTTCAGGTACCTTAAGAAGAAATAGCCTTCCACGGTGTGGGCAGCCGGGAAGTGTCAACCGCCCTCACAACTCTGTCAGCACCCAAGTTTCTTCTGACTGCTATCCTCCTCCTCCATCATTACCTTCTAATCTTCCTTCACGTCTCTTAATTAATGATGCTGCATCATCTTCAATTTCTCCTACCTCTGCAGCCTTCGACAACGATCTGAGTCCACAGAACAGTGTCCCTGGTCTCCTTAAACCACGCTCCAAATTACATATTGGAGCCTTCAATGTCCGCACCCTCCGTCAAATTGGCCAACAGGCTTCGTTGGCAAAGACTCTAGCAACTCGAGGCATGGATGTGTGCTGTGTTTGTGAGACACGCATACAGGACCCAAGTGTGGTTATTCACCTGACCTCTCCTGACCAATCTGGTGAATCTGCAAAATTCACCCTTCGAGTTTCTGGAGATTCGATAGCTAGCTCTCGTGGTCTTGCAGGTGTAGGTATAGCATTAAGCACCAGGGCAGAAAACTCACTACTAGACTGGATCCCAGTTGATAGTCGCCTCTGCGCTATGAGGCTGAACGGCACAGTGAGAACTAAAAGGAATAGTGAGACTCGCCGTTGTCTCTTTGTAATCTCTGCTTACGCACCCACTGACTGTAGTTCGGATGAAGTGAAGGACGAGTTCTACCATAAACTGTCTAACCTCCTCTCGAAAGCCAAACGTTCGGACGTAGTGGTTGTTGCAGGTGACCTCAACGCACAGGTGGGTAGACTGAGTGAGGCAGAAAGGCACTTAGGTGGCACTTTCGGAATCCCAGCTGAACGTACAGATAACGGTGATCGCCTATTACAACTATGCTCAGATAACCGCCTATTTTTAGCCAGCACAAATTTCAGACATAAAGAAAGGCACTGTCTGACCTGGCGTCCACCGAGCTCGACTCAGCGATGGACACAGATAGACCACATTGCTATTAGTCATCGCTGGAGAGGATCGGTGGAAGACTGCCGCTCCTTCTGGAGTACGTGTTTGGACAGCGATCATGCGTTGGTCCGAGCACGTATATGCCTGCGTCTCAATGGACGTAGAAAAAATTTGGCAACAAAACCACTACGAGTTCTGCTGGACAACGAAAACACCAAAGCCGTGTTCAGTGAGAAGTTGGCTAGGCAGTTATCGGAACAAAAGACTGTCACTCATCCAGAAGAAGCTTGGTGCCATCTTCAGTCTACTGTAAAAGCAGCACTGGAGACTGTAGCCGACTCCAAGATAATGGCTAAAAAGAGCCAGTGGATATCAGCAGCTTCTTCCAAACTAATGGATGCACGTGAATGCATCCCTGCAGGCTCTGAGTACAATGAAGAGCGAGCGCAACTTAAAAATAAACTGACGAAAAGTCTGCGCAACGATCGTGAACAGTGGTGGGCAGCAAAGGCTAAAGAGATGGAAAAGGCAGCGGCGATCGGTAACAGTAGACAGTTATTTAGACTTATTAAGGAGACTGGGGGGAAATGGTCAACAACAGTTAGTGAGGTTATAGCGGAGAAGGACGGATCGGCGATTCACTCGCAGGGAAGGCGACTGGGACGATGGGCAGAACACTTTGAGGAACAGTTTAACTGGCCTCCAGCCACCATTGCGCTGCCCGCTATCCAGTCGGACCCTGAATGGGACATAGAGACAGGTCCCCCAACACTAGAAGAAGTTGAGAAAGCGGTAGGTAGCCTGAAACGGGGAAGGGCAGCAGGACCAGACGGACTACCTGCTGAGGTATACAAGAATGGTGGTAGAGTTCTCTTAGTCAGGCTAACGGAAGTGTTAGCCAGTATATGGGAATCAAATACGATCCCCTCCGACTGGTCTAAGTCACTGATCATCCCAGTCTTCAAGAAAGGCGAGAAGTCCTCTTGTGATAACCACAGAGGAATCAGCCTGACAAACATAGTGTCTAAGATCCTAAGTTCTATAATTCTCCGACGCCTGAGTGGAGCTCGGGAACAGCAAGCCCGAGAAAACCAGGCAGGCTTTAGACCTGGCCGTGGATGTATCGACCAAATATTCACACTGCGCCAGGTCCTGGAACATAGGCATGCTTACAGACGCCCGACAATAGCTGTATTTCTCGACCTGAAGGCGGCATTTGACTCCGTTGATCGAGAAGTCTTATGGCAGTGTCTGTCACTGAAAGGCGTGCCTAGTAAGTACATCACCTTATTGAAAGCTCTCTACTCGAACACTTGTGGGCATGTTAGAGCCTATGGTGAGTTGTCCAGGGAGCTATACTCATCAAGTGGTGTCCGTCAAGGATGCCCACTATCCCCATTCTTATTTAATTTTATCATAGATATTCTTATGGAGGTTTCCCTCTCGTCACCTAATTACAAAGACGTTGACCGGATCACAGGTGAATTTTCCTTAGATCTAGAATATGCAGATGACATAGTCCTGTTAGGTGAAGACGCTGACAAGATGCAGAGTCTTCTGAACACTTTGAGTGGGAATTTGAGAATGTTTGGGATGCGATTTTCACCACCCAAATGCAAATTTTTGCTCCAGGACTGGTCTTCAGCGGTACCGCGGTTAACAATAGAGAGTGAAGTGGTTGAGTGTGTTGACCACTTCACTTACCTGGGAAGTAGGATCAACTCCGGTGGGTTAGTTGCCGATGAGATTTCTGCACGGATACAAAAGGCTCGATTGGCTTTTGCCAATTTGCGCCACCTATGGCGCCGCCGTGATATTCGTTTGTCTATTAAGGGTCGCGTGTACTGCACAGCAGTCCGCTCTGTTCTACTGTATGGCTGTGAAACATGGCCATTGAAAGTGGAAGACATGAGAAGGTTACAGGTATTTGACCACCGTTGCCTTCGTAGTATAGGACGTATTCCGTGGTGTCACCATGTGAGTAATGCAGAAGTTAGGTGTAGAGTTTTAGGGAGAAGAGGTAAGTCAGTCGACGAGGTTGTGAACCTTCATCGACTGAGATGGTTGGGACACGTACTACGTATGCCTAGTCACCGATTGCCTCGTCACACAATGTTGGCTGAGGTGGGTTCAGGCTGGAAAAAGGCCCGAGGTGGCCAGACTAAAACATGGCACCAATGTATGAAGTCTCTGACTGTTGGTTTAAGCCATGTAGGACGATGCAGACTAGGTGGTTGGGGTCCACGGGACAAGAGGAACCAGTGGTTGGAGACCCTAGGTGATATGGCTCAGAACCGAAGTCAGTGGCGCAGATGTATACACACATTATCCTCATCTTAACAACGCTATACCGAATCTCACTATTTTGTCACTCCTCTTTCCTTTCTTCTCATACTTTATATTTCTTTTGACTGCATTCACTTATCTTCATCCTTCACCTCACTACCTTTTTACTTGATGTGCTGATATGAGGTGTGGCAACTCGGACCGTTACGCAGTAATGCCTGGTCCTATGTTGATAATGATGATGATGATGATACTAACTTGATGTGTTGATATGAAGTAGGGCAAGTTGCACCGTTACGCAGCCAAGTTGATACTATTTTTGCATTTAACAGCCATTTACCAGAAAGGTTGCATAGGGCGAAAGTAGTGATTCATTGTCAGTTATAATGTTAAATTCACTGTCCTGTCCAGTAATATGAAACGCATAATTACGTTATAAGTTTACAAAAATTGGATTGAAATGCACTTAGTAACCTTGTGCTCGAACCCATAACCTACTTACTAGTTGAAAGTCAACTCATTAAACCAATAAGTCATGTTGGAAAAGGCGATGTTGGCTTTTCATATAAATAATTCATAATATATTTAGTAGTGACTAAAAGTGATGTTCATTCTCCATAAAGAATCATTGAACCTGGTGAACTAGCATCATCATGATTCTTGGCATTCCTACTGGGAATCTTATCTAACAATCAACAATTCAATCCATAAACAGTCATCTAATAGGCTAATTATGTATATACTGAGTGATGATTGGTGAAATGGAAATCTGCACCGCGACCGGATTCCAACCGCCGACTACCGGGTTTCCAGCCCGATGCACTACCAATTGAGAGTTACGAGGTCCGACTGCTCGCCAGATTTTTATTTCACTTCCATCACTATAGGTATAACCTGACTACCATATGAATTCATGACGCGTTGCTACCACTCGATCGTATTCACACTGGCTGCCTAGTCAATAATTATCATTCCAATCGAAATCTAACTGAATTAGAGAGGGGGAACATCATATTGATGATCATTTGATTATCTGAGTGGGATAGCCGTGGTTTGGCAAACTAGTTATCAGCAACCGGACGTTGTGGCTCAAGTTGGTAGAGCATTTGGTCGGTAACCCGGTAGTCACTGGTTCGAATCCAGCAGCGGTCCAAATTTTCATTTCACCTACAACCATCCACCCAGTATTAATATATCGAAATAAACCCAGCTATTGTACAATAACACAATCGCATAAATGGAGACTTAGAAAAATTTTTTACTTACCAGTAACAATTCTTCAATAACAAGTAAATTTGCACGAAATATATCATTTGATGAACATTCGGCTGGATTCCAAAGACCTGGTTTAAAGTAGATCAGTACTCTATCTTCAGCATCAGGTTGAGGTAATCGACAGACAACACCTTTACGAAAAATATGCTCAACAGATGATGGTGTTAAATCATTGAATATCTCTGGATAACGCAATCTTAGTATATAATAGTTTATATACAATCTTAAAGCATTATCACGATTAAATTTTTTAGCGCGAAGAAATCGAAGCAGAAATCCATCAGCAAGGCATCCTTGTAAATCTAACAAATGAATAAACAAATTTTGGGCCGAAAATAAATTATTTTTACAAGATTGCATTTATTACGGAGTGAAAATGATTGAAAAAGTACTGAAAATCTAGGAGCACTAAACATCTATTTCGTCCTAGTAATGGACTCTTTAGAAGTACACATCCGCGATCACTCGAGGAATCGAACTCAAAACCTTCAGGTTCCACAATAAATGCTATAACCATTCAGGGTTGGAGTTCAATGGTCTTAAAATCAACCAACTTCATGTTGTTTAGTCCTGAGCACCGACAGATTTTTACAGAACTTTCTGGAATGAAGGCAATCGGTGTGGAACCCAGCTATACATAGTTCTTCTGGTAGTTGGCACTGAGAGGTGTATCTACGACCCGACGACTCATGTCTAATGTCGCAGAAACTCAAAGATTTACAGGCAAAAACCAACAAGTTGACAAAAGAGGCAGCGAAGACGAGACTTCCTTCAGGTGAACGTAGAGAAGACAGAGGTGATGAAGATACCCAACCAACAATCATCACCAACGAGAGAAATCTCAAGGAAGTCGTCTCTCTCACCTACGTACCTAGGTAACATCGTTTCAACTACAGGTGGCAGCAAACATGAGGATGTCAAAACCAGGATCGGAAAGACAGCAAGACAGGCGTTCATCAACCTGAAACCAGTGTAGAGATCTGCACTTAGCATAAAGCGTGAACAAAATCCGGATTTTCAACACTACTGTCAGTCAAACCAGTGCTTTTATGTGATGGTTGAGAGACGTGGCGGAGCGTCACGAAAGGTATTTCCAACAAACTACAGACATTCATCAACAGCTGCCTACGCTGGCTCGAAACTGACGATCAGATGGCCAGAATAATAAGAATAAGCAACAAGGAACTCTGACAATGAACCAACCAACAGCCTATGACGCAACAAACATGCAGTGGAAGAAAGTGGAGATGGGTTGGGCATACACTGAGAAGGCTGATGTGGAACATCACTCGTTAGGCAAGTTCCTCGAGTGGAATCCACAGGGGAAACGACGAGTTGGGAGTCCAAGGGTGACATAAAGGAGATGGCGTGAGGAAGAAATGAAAGCTTATAGGCAGTTATGGAGCAGAGAAGAGAGTGAGATGGCGACGTGTTACCGTAGCCCAATGGTCCACTAGGAACCTAAGGGAAAAATAAATAATCATTAAACTACACCAGTAGTGAAAAGAGAAGATCGTAAAGAAGGAAATCTCTGACAGAGAAAACTGATAATAAGTTGTATTCGATATATGAAAGATGCATATGAAATAGTTATACTATATTGACTGATCATAGTAAAGCAACCACTTTCACGTTGTCAAGTCGTTAGTATACACAGAGTTTTATCGATTAGATTTGCAATGTGCTCACCATGCTAGGACGCTCAGCATCGCGGTGCACATTGGTACATCGTAGCGATTGTTGAACCTTAGAATAAGGTCATTCTTATGAACCAAGTTATAGGTTTAAATTATTTTGAGTAGTCATCCATCCAAATGAACATAGGACTAGGTATTACTGAGTAATGGTCAAACTTGCCGCCACACTTCATCTCATATCAGTACATTAAGTAAAAAGGCAGTCAAGTGGAGGATGAGGAGAAGAAAATTCACTCAGAAGAAATACAAAGTACGAAAAGAGAGAAAGGAAGAATGAGAAAATGGTGAGATTCAGTATAGCGTCGTTAACATGATGATAATGTGTGTGGCGATACATCTGCGCCCACCTCCACTGACATCGGTTCTCAACCATATCACCTAGAGTCAGTCTCCAAACACTCACTAATGGTTTCTCTTGACCCACGAACAGACTCCAACCACCTAGTCTGCATTGCTCCACATGGCTCAAACCAACACTCAAACATTTCATACATTCATGCCATGTTTTAGTCTGGCCATCTCAAGCCCTTTTCCAGCCGGAACCTACTTCGGCAAACATTCTGTAACCAGGCAATTGGTGACTATGTATGCATAAAACAAGTCAGAGTCAACCATCTCAGTCGATGAAAGTTCACAACCGTGTCAACTTACTTCTACTTCCTAAAACTCTACACCTGACGTCTGCATTACTCAAGTGGTGACACCGTGGAATACGGCGTATACTACGAAGGCAACGGTGGTCAAACACTTGAAACCTTCTCATGTCCTCCATCTTCAATCGCCATGTTCTACAGGCATATAGTAGAACAGAATGAACTATGGTGCTGTACACGTGACCCTTAATAGACATTCGGATATTACGGCGGTGACACAGGTGGCGTAAGTTGGTGAAAGGCAGCCGAGCCTTTTGTATCCGTGCAGAGATATCATTGGCTACTATTGTAAGTAGCATTCATCATAAGATCATGAAGTATATATAAATCTTGAATTCCTATAGAGTTTTCTGGATCAAAACTTGTTAATATTGGAGATTAATTTTCACAGTAACTAGAATCTGTAGAAACAATAACCATCATCATGATATTGTACTTTTTTTAGATGTTTAAAATAAAATGGAGATATTAATTAAAAATAATAAACTCACTTTGTAATTGAATTTGATGTCTTAACTCTCCAATTGCTTTTTCACGTAATTCTGGATGTTCATTCAATTCTGTATAAGCTTTTTTCAATGTTTCAGGTGATAATTCAATAATATTTAAATTACTAATCATCTTGTTGATTGATTATATATAAAAGTATACACCATTCTTATAGCATATATATATATATATATGTGTATAGAACTTTTCAAGAGGTAACAGATTACCTTGAACAAAACAGTAACGAAAACATTGAATATTGAACATTGAATATTCTCATTTAGACATTTAGAAAAAGACTCATTGAACAAGCAAGCGAGAGAGCGAGTGAGCGAAGGAATGCATATTCCTTTTCAATTCGATCTTCACATTGGACTCTACACAAATATACGTAGGTTTACCATTGAATGAAATTACCAATCACATGGTGATAATTTAGAAATAATGATGTAAATAATCAATGAAGTTACTAAAATTTGGAATATGAAGCAGGTTAGTTATTCCTAGGTAAATGGAATGACATTGATAAGAATGCTGTTCTGAATATGTTCAATAGTGTTCATCTGGTGATCAACTTAACAATGAAAGAGGAGAAGAATGATAGTATCCCATTACTTGATGTTCTGTTGATGAGATGGTTAGATGGAACTCTGAAACAAACTGTGTGTAGAAAACCAACATCAACAGGTCAATACACATACACTTCTTTAGTGCCGTACACCTCCAATAAAAAAGGGACCTGGTGAAATGCCTAGCATACTGCGACATAGCTATTTCTTCAGATGATGCTATAAAGGAAGAGTGCACTACCATCCGTGATCTACTCAGTAGGAATGACTACCCAGACAAGTTTGTAATTAAGCATATGAATATTACGAGGTTTAAGACAAGAACGTCAATAGTTCCTGAGAAGCAAATCTTCTTGAGACTGAAATTCAAGAATGATATTACCTGTGAGATTATCACACAACGCATAAAAACAGTCTTGCATAAAGCCTTCCCAACCATTAAATTATGTCCCATCATCTACAATCGCGCGATTCTAGGTGTATGTGCACTTCCATGTGCATTGACAGAATTAAGTCGGAATCAAAGTAAAGTGATTAAAACGATAACTTCAAAGCACCTTAACTCGATATAAGTTTGTGTATCCAGGCTACAGGCTATTCGGTCGACAATGACTAAAATACACAACCCTCAAATTGGACTCATGATCTTGAAAGTTGGATGCTGAAGTCATATCTCTACTATTCACTATACAGAGACTAATGAACGAATTTCTATTTAATACATTGAATATTCCCATTTAGACATTAGAAAAAGACTCATTGAGCGAGCGAAAAAAATGTATATTCCTTTTCAATTCGACCTTCATATTGGACTCTACACTAATATACGTAGGTTTACACTTGAATCAATTTAGAAATAATAATGTAACTAGTCAATAGAGTTATTATAATTGGAAATATAATGCAGGTTAATTATTGTTAGGTAAGTGGAGTGGGTTTTGATGAGTGTTTAGACATTCACAACAAGCGATTACGTAATAATGAGAAGGCGAATGAAAATTGATAGAAAAAAGGGGAAGGGGATGTACAAAGTAGACCTAGAAGTTACATCATATTGACGGCCACGGTAATGATAGTGATCGAAAAAACTTCTTTTGAATACAAAGGTTAGACTTGTTTGTAAAAGTGGATTGCAATCGCCTCTGTTATGTGAAGTAGGAAGTGCGTAATCCATATGGTAAATTAGTTTGAGTATGATGAATAAATTTGAAAGCTTTCTAGTAACCATTTGATGTCCCGTGTCAACTAGGTGTGCAAGTATGGAGCTCTTCATTGTTCTAATTTGTCCCTTGCTCAACCATGATGGACGGTTCTCAGAAATTCGACGACAGAACTGTTACTCTTGAATTTCAGCCTCAAGAAGATTTACTTCTTAGGAACTATTGACGTTCTTGTCTTAAACCTCGTAATATTCATATGCTTAATTACAAACTTGTCTGGGTAGTCATTCCTACTGAGTAGATCACGGATGGTAGTGCACTCTTCCTTTATAACATCATCTGAAGAAATAGCTATGGCACAGTATGCTAGGCATTTCACCAGGTCCCTTTTTTATTGGAGGTGTACGGCACTAAAGAAGTGTATGTGTATTGACCTGTTGATGTTGGTTTTCTACACACAGTTTGTTTCAGAGTTCCATCTAACCATCTCATCAACAGAACATCAAGTAATGGGATACTGTCATTCTTCTCCTCTTCCATTGTGAAGTTGATTGACGGATGAACAGTACTGAACTTATTCAGAACAGAATAAAAGAGACGTTATACAATCGCATTCCATTTGAGCAAGTATAATACTCTGTTAAAGGCTCTGTACTAGAACACTCGTGAGCGTGTTGTAGTCTATAGTGAATTGTGTATGTCGAATGGTGTCCGTCAAAGATGTTCACTCTCTCTTTTCTCTTTCCATTTTATCATAGACGTACTTATTTATGAAGTTAATGATTTCGTCTTCTAACTTTACACTGATTGACTTAATCGTAAGAGAATACTTAGTAGATTTAGAGTATGCAGATGACATAGTCTTGTTAAGTGAAAATGCTTATAAAATGCAAAATCTTGTACAAACATTCAGTAACAATATGAGAATGCTTCGCATGCAATTCCCACCATCTTAATGCAAATCATTGCTCCATGACTAGTGTTTAGTAGTGTTATGTCTAATAGTGAAATGACTGAATGCGTTAACCACTTTACTTACTTGGGAAATACAATCAGTCGTGTTGAACCAGTGACTGTAGAAACCTCTGCACATATACAAAAAGCTAGTTTGTCTTTCATCAACTTACTTTATCTATGGATCCATTATGATATTCAAATGTCTATTAACGGCTGAGTGTACTAAGCTGTAGTTCGCTTAATTCTGCTGCACGGCTGTGAAATACGGTAGTTAAAAGTATAGGATATGAGGTATTTTCGGGTGTTCGACCACCATTGCCTTTATGTGTCATAGTGTCACCATCACATCAGTAAAGTAGATGTTAGGCGTAATCTTTTGGACAGAAGGGAAAGATCAGTCTAACAGACAGAATCACCACAGAACCTCAAACACAAGCGTATCGGTTCATGTTGTCACAATTCACAGTAGTAAACAAATAGCAAGTGCATAGATAAAGACTGATATCAAAGTAGGCAAAGTTGTGTGAGACAATAAACAACTTGAAGATAATGGTTGTGAAAATATTCAAGTTTTAGAAGATGTCAGAGAAAAAATACATTTGCATCACTGTAACCGATTTTCTTTTGTTTCATCAAGAGTTTTCAACTACTGATTCCTGTCGTCTCATGGACTCCAGTTAGGCAGTATACATCTCCTCACACGATTCAGACGAACATTCAGAGACTTCATAGACCGGTGCCACATATTGATCTGGCCATCCTGGACCCTTCCTCTTCCAACCTAACTCAGCTTCTGCAAGCATCGCACATCGAGGTAGGCGGTGGTTCGACATATGGAGTATATGCGTAAGCCACCTGAGTCTATAAAAGTTCAAAAGCTCATTAATCTACTTGTCTCCATTGCCTAGAACCCTTCACCTTAACACAATATTTCTCATACGGTAATTCTATTATACACGACCAATACTATGAAGATACCTGGTATCGAAAATCCTGTAACCATTTTATATCCTCTCTTTTTAACTATCATGTCTTACAGTTGTATAAAATGAAAACAACAGGTTGCAGCACGGTATACCCGTCTTCTGGCTGACAGTTCAATATGTCACCAATTGGAACCACAGATGATGCAAGAAGAGGTTAATAAAACATTAACTGTGTAGGACAAGCTTGAATCATCGATTTTGAGATTTCCTGGTACAGTTCAACCCAACAGCACTAAAAATTTATCAAAACTTGATCATCACAAATCCTTTTCTATCTCATATGTATTATGTATTATAAACTCAGTTTCTAGGGATGAGTGACACGTACCCCAACTACCTTATGTTAACCATCTCTTTAGCTATAAGAACTTGCGATAGTTTATCACGAATACAGAACTTCAAACGATGTTGACTGATATTAACTGACTTTCAACCTAAACCTTAGCAAGTGGAGCACGAGTCGAATGTGTATCACTTTGGCTAAGAATCGACTATCCAGACGAATGAATGACAGTTGTAGTTTCAATGTATCCTAACGATGGACACGATTGTTTACAAAATCTTGACCACCGAGTTAATATGATTCAGAGTATAGGCTGTATTTTATCTGTGTAACTCTTAGATAGTATAAGAGAGCCGATAACAATATATGCTAGGAAAACCATTAGTATGAGTATGAATCTGGTATTATGCTTTCAGGTTGATAATCGAATTTAGTACAGAATGTGACCTTTTTAATCATCCAGTTAGATCGTGATATAGTACGAATTAATACAATTTAGGTGAGTGATTTAACAGATTGATCAAAAACTCACAGTCAAGTTGTACAAGTAAAGTGGTACAAAAGTGAGATGAGAAATTTAGTTCACCTGTGAAATGTACAGTGAAGTTGTGAGTTATCAGTGAGTGGATCAAGAAGAAATTACTATTCTGGAAAGATGAATATGTTCGGAATAAATCAGGCATAATGATATTCAACCTTTCTGTATATTACTAAGGGTTTCCAGAGTGAGTAGGCAGTAATGTTTATCATATTTGTGGGATATTCAGTTCATCCTTTTTGGTAAACTGAGGAAATTACAAACAGATATGCAAAGCTTCTCCAATCGTTTTCTTTTTGTGAGTGAGGAAACCCTTTTCAAAGACTTATACCTTTTCAAACATCACTATCCTCATCAAGATCAACATAGGACCAGGCATTACTACTTAACGGACCACGTTGCCACACGTATCACCACATCAAGTGACAAGGCAATAAAATGGGAGATGAAGAAGGAAAGAAAAATGATATAATGAGACTAAGTATAGCGGTTAAAATGAGGATAATATGTATATACGTCTGCACCATTGACATCAACTCTGAGCCTTATCATCTAGTCTCCAATCACTGGTTCCTCTTGTCCAGCGGACCCCAATAGCCTAGTCTGCATCGTCCCATATGGCCCAAACATTTCATACAT